TTTTTTAAGATTTGTTATGTACTAAATGCTTGGATTGTTAGTATATTTTTACTTAATATTCAGTTAGCAAGTTAACTTTTCTTAACCTGGAATCTGCAAAATGAATATATAACAAGTATCAAATTTTTGAAGTCCAAAATCTATATTAATAATTTTTATTGTGTGTACAAGAGGAGCATATCTCTAAAGTCATTTAGAGATATGGCCCTCTTTTTTTGTTTTAAATTTTTAACCATCCATACAAGTTACTTAGATGAATACCATAAAATTTTTATATATACATATAGCTCTCTTACACTAATAGTATTAATTGTCTGGCTGTTGCTTATCTATAGATTAAAGAGACATATTAAGCTTCTTAATTTTCAAATTGTGTTTACATTTAAAAATTATCAAATATCATATATGTTCTAAATTTCATTTTTTTTTTTTTTTAGATAATTTTGATAAATTGCCTGAAGAGGTAATATTGTACTTATTTAAAATATTAGATAAACTTACACTCACCAAGTGTGCCTATGTTTGTCAAAAATGGAGGCGTATTGCATATGATGAATCATTATGGCAATGTTTGAATATTCCTCACCGTCGTATGAGCATTATGGCTTTAGACAACATTCTAAAAAGAAATGTTAAATATTTATCAATATCTCATTCAAATGTAAGTATCATGCTAATGTTAATGATTTAAAATTTTACTGATTTTTATGTTATTCTAGTTATATGTTAATATAAGAAATGTTTTTGAAGAACCATTACCCAAGTTGCAGTATTTAGATTTAAGTGCTGTATTTATACCTGTTGATAGTAAGTATATCTCATAAAAAGTTATTTGAAAACAATTCTTAATTAAAAATTACCTATTTGAAAAAAAAAAAAGATGTCAAATATTTTTTTTATATTAACTTAAATTATTGGTATTATTTTGAAGAAAGACTTCTATGATATTTATTAGTTTTGATATATTCCATTATATATAAAATACATGTTTAAAAAAAAATATTAAGAATATTAAAATATAAAATAATAAGTAAATTTCATGCTTCTTCATGAAAAAAAGATTTCAATAACAGTCTTGACCAGAGGTGTCGTGGAGCGTATACGCGGGTATACGGCGTATACCCACTTCTTTGTTTTTCTGTTATTGCGTATACTTATAAAATCATGAGTGATACGCGGGTATACGGCGTATACCCAGTGTTAGTTTTCTTATTAGTGTATATACGTATTTATAAAATAGTTAAAGAGTATAGACTAAAGAATAAAATAAAAAGTAATATGTGGGTATCGAATATAGGTACGTTTGTCATAAAACACAAATTTTGAATAATTCTTATCAGTTTGTTTAATCTCTACAGTCATACCACATATAAACATATATCTGAAGTTATAAACACACAAATATGGCTCGAGACTATTATCATTTTAAAAATAGAATATAAATGTAAAACAAAACACTGTCAAAGTGTATAAATAAATATCAATAAAATAAATAGGATAATGTTTATCATTTCACGACAATTTTATTGACATTTATTTATACACTTTGACAGTGTTTTGTTTTTTGTTTGACAATTTTTCAACATAAAAAAATGAAAATATGCTATTCTATATTTCCTATTTTATTCCTGAAATTGAAAAAGTTAGTTGCAACAACTGGCATTGTCTACTTTTAGGATAATTTACATTTTGATAAAGTATTGTATGGAAGAAATTACTTTTTGTAAATGTAACAAAAAAATTGTCTTTGATAATTTACAATTAAGTTCTAGAAAATCAAATTATGTCTGATATTGATACATTAAATGTATAAAATAAATTTGTTTTCTGTTTTTCATAAAAAATTTTAAAGTTAACTTAACTAGTTATTGCAACAAGCCCTTAAATTTCATTATAATCAGTTTTTGGGTTATAGAAAATTGTTAAAAAAAATTATTTTTCTATCTTTTATACACTATAAACTATTAATTAACCAAACATAGATGGAAATATAATCAAAATTTGGAGCTTATGATATAGTTAAAATTGTCTACATTTTTGAGGAGGCTAAGCTTGCTCTAAACCCTTACTCATTATTGGCACTACAATTGCTTTTAGTTTTTATTAATAACTATTTATTTTTATAAGCCGAGAGTATTTTATGATAACCTTATGTATATTTTTTAGTTTTGAACTCCCTCCTTAGTCAATGTCATAATTTAATAAAGCTAAGTTTAGAAAACTGTCGTGTCGATGTATTGTGTTGTGAAAAAATTGGAAGAAATAGCAATTTAAAAGTGTTAAATTTAGCTTCTTCTAGTGGACTTGATGGTGATGGAATAAAGCATTTATTAAAATTAAAAAAGTAATGATATATTAAATCTAATCATACATTAATATTTAAACTCATTAATCTGTTTTTTTATAAATGTAGTTCAATAGTATTATTTAAAAAAATAATAATATTATTAATTGGTTAATTTATGCATGACTATAAGAAAATGTATTGTATGTTCTTATTCTTATGTTATTAATATAATTATTTTAGTCTTGAGGAACTAAATGTTTCATGGGCTCATATAAAAGTGAACAACTTGCGTTTCTTGCTGACAAATATGATACAGGGTATAACACATCTTAATATAAGTGGATTTTTGAAACAATTAGCTGATAATGGTAAAAACCTAATTAAATCAATACTTTTCATAAATTTGTTACAAAATACACTATAAAAAAAAAATTATTTAAATTTTTTCAGATTTGATAACTTTAGTTAACCGTTGTTCTAGACTAGTTGAATTAGACATAAGTGATAGTCTAGCAATAACTCCAGATAGCGTTGATTTCATTTTAAACAATTTGCCAAATTTAAAAATTTTGTCCATGAGTCGTTGTTTCAATGTGGGTACTTCATTTTTACAGTACGTAATTTCTACTACTCATTATAACTCATAATAAGTTAATGGATTTAAATTATATTTATTTGATTATTAGACCTAAAATGCAAAGGCTAAAAACTGGTAATCGTGCTCATCAGCTTAAAGAATTAAACATGTTTGGAATGACTAATCAATATAATTCTTTGTGGCCTGATGTAGTTGATCTCAAGATAAATAAAAATATTTTTTCTCATATTTCTCGTCCAAAACTGGCTAATAATGAATACACTATTTGGGAAATTCCTGCTTTTATAGACTGTTAACAAAACTTGTAATTCATTTTTAACACTATGTGATAAATTTTAGGTATTAAATTAAAATATGTTTCTCTATAACTAACATAGTTAATTTTTTTTTCTTTTTTTATAAAAATAAAATTTGTATAATTTTATATACAAACCTATAAAGAATATTTGAATTATTGAAAAGTGTAAATTGTTATTTAATTTTGTCTCATAATTTATAATTTAATCTATTTAGTTAATATTTATGGGTATAAGCTGAATGATTTAAATTTCTTTTTATTATTTAAAAAAGTGAAATTATAAATAATTTTTATGTGTTTTGTTCAAATTTATATTAAAGAAATATTTATTAATATTATGAAAGTTAAATATATTTTTTATTGTAAAAATTCTTCAGTTAATTATATTCAATATTATTTGACAAAATACTTACTCTTGTTATTTTTATACTTATTTTTCTTAAACGTAATTGTTGAATAAAAAATAGGCTTAGGTAAATAATGCAAATACCAACAAAATAGCATAGGTAAAAATAAAATATTAATCTATCATTTTTTGTTTTAACCTTTCCTATTATTAAATGTTACACTTTTAACTTGAAACTAAAATATTGAAAAATTACAATTATTTAGTATTAATCAAATTAGGTTTTAAAACATTTATTTAAAAAATTTATGTATACAAGCCCGGTAATATGACAAATATAATAACTTATTATTTCATTGAAATTTTTTTTTTCAAATAAATAGTGCCTCTTAGACAACTACATTCAAAGTATATTACTAATAAAAAAAAAATCTTACTTTTTTTATCAAAATTTATAAATAGGTATTATTTAGATTTTTTCTTATGAAAAACGATAAGTATTCGACAAAAATTAAAAAAAAAAGTACTCATTGAATTACAAGCATTTTAATACAAAGAATTGGTGTAGAACATAAGCAAAGTATACCTACATCACTATAGGCTTTCCTCACCCGCACAACATTCCCACTCTGTGTATTACAATACCTGTAACTTGTTGAATTCTTTTTTTTTTATTGTTGTCGAACACATAAATTTTATTGGAAAAATAAATCTAAATAATACCTATTTATAAATAGAGGGATTTATTTCCCTTTGAAACAAAAATATTTCTACACTACTGTACATTTCAAAAAAAAATTAACCATAACTGGGTTCTTATAAATTGGTTAAACAAAATTTTTAAATATATATATAAATGTACTTTAGTAATAAATAATAAAATTATATACTTTTAATGAAGTCCAAAAAAACAATAATTATTTAAAAAAAAACTTTCAATAACATGATAATTAAAAGAAATTAAATGTTATTAAATTTGTAATATCTTTATGACTCGCCTGCATTTATTTATATTTATATATAACCTTATAAAACAAAACCCAGCACAGTGGACTCGTAGCATAGATGGGTCCAGTATAGATTTAATCTGATAATGATTAAAATCACTATCATAAGAATCACTTTGATGCAAATCTGTAAATAATGTTTAATTCTAAGAAATTGGTGGATAATTACAAAAGCAACATCACCTACTATTTCCTTAATTATATCCAGATTAGTAATACTTAGATTCAAAAATATAAAATATAATTTTTTAATAATATATTATATAATTAATTGTTTTCAAATTATTGATTTTGATTTTTAATATGTTAAACATAATCATTTTCACCTACTCTTTATGTGAAAGTTTATAATAAAAAAAAAAAGAATTTATCGCCATAACTTTTAGCTCAACTTGCAAATTTGAAATTGACATTATTAAATAGAAAAAATGGTATTGTTTAAATAAATATGGAGTTAGCAAATTTTATAATTACTGTTTACAGTAAATTTATCAGAAAAGCTCGATTTTTTTGCATGTTTATCGTAATAGATCACTTAAATAGAAATAATAGTAATCATTTTTAATTAACTTTTGGTGTTCAAAAAGATTTTACAATTGAAATATGCAGAACTGAATTAATTTTAATGATTTACTTTAACTAAGAAATAACCAATAAAAAAATCCAGCACAGGGGATCGCGGCCCAATGGTGAGGTGGCATAGTTGGATCAAGTAAAATGATATCTGACAGTGATTAAAATCACTATAAAAAAAAAACGCTTTGATGCAAATCTTTAGATAGTGTTCAATTTTAAAAAAAACGGTAGTACAGTGGGATCGCGGCATAGTGGAGACATTGCATAGTTGGGTCCAGTATAGATTTTATCTGACAGTGATTAAAATCACTATCATAAGAAACGCTTCGATGCATAGTGTTTAGATAGTGTTTAATTTTAAAAAATTGATGGATAATTGCAAAAGCAACATCAACTTCTATTAAAATAAAATACAAAACCCATAATTTTCATAAAAAATAACATATTTTTGAATACGGTAGCCATTTGCGTATAGAAGATAGGTCGTCGGGACAAATTTTTTTTTTTCATTTCGTAGTACATAAAATAAGCTTTAATTTTATATATGTTTAAAGGACACAGTATTTCCGGACCATTTTCAAAATTAAGTTGAAAAAGTTATTTTTTGTAAAAAAGTTGCTATTTTAAATCCTACCTAATGAGCAGGTGAAGTGTTAGATTTCCAAAAAAATGATATCAAAAAAAAGGGAAATATCTAAGGTTTTAGTATAAAAAAAAATTATGTTGATTTGTTAATTTTTAAAAAAGTTATGGAAGTTTTAAGAAAAAAAAGTGAAAAAATTTCGAAATTAGCGATTTTTAAATTTGTAATTTTTTTTAATATTTCCCCCATTTGCGGGAAACGAGGGAATTTTTTTCAATTATTAAGGGTAGTGTCTTCAACTAGATACGATTTGTGATCTTTTGACGTATTTTTGAAAGAAATCGGTCCAGTGAAAGCTGAGAAAAAGTGGCAACAGACATAAAAAAAAAAAAAAACACATCATAGTAAAATTAATACCTTCTCCGCTTCGCATCGAAGCTAAAATTGATGGATTATTCCAAAAGCTACATGATCTGCTAGTTCCTTAGTAATATCCTGATATAATAAAGTATGTCGAAGGAAAAAGGGATTATTAAAAAATATTACTTCTCATAAAAAAATTATGTTGATCCATACACTTTTCAATAAGTTATAGCATTATAAAGTAAAAAATGTAAATTATAAAATCAAGAATTTTCACACAAAAATAGCATTTGGTAGCCGTTTTCACCATGAAGACAAGTCCAGAGGTCAAATTAAAGTACATTACATTAGCTTTAATTTAAGATATATATAAAAGTGTCAGACCTTCCGGAACATTTTCAAAAATAAAGTTGAAAAAGTTAATTTTTTGTAAAAAAGTTGTCATTTTAAATCCCCCCCTGTGGGCAAGTAAAGGGTCATATAAAAAAAAAATATTCCAAATAAAAGGTTATGATATCATGCATCTATATAATATTATTTAAAATGTTTGAATATAAATATATTTTTTAATATCATCAACTAGACACTAGTTGTGATTATTTGACGTATCGTTGAAAAAGTTAGTCCAGTGAGATCTGAGAAAAATGAATGACAGACATAAAAGAAATACCACATAGTAAATTGATTTTACTATGAATAAGAAATTCTTACAATGGAAATTACAGTTATGGGGTTCTTAAGTTAGAAGTTATTTAATCAAAATGAGATAAACATTAAATTAATTTTGAATTTTTTATAAAACTCAAAAAGAATTAAGAAAATATTCGAAAAATTATTTTGATGGGATTCGAGATACGAACTTCGTACATCGAGCGTGAAAGACTTAAGTGTAACGGACTCGACAACTGTACATCATACTAGATAAATTTAAAGACAATTTAAGTTGTATCGAAAATTTAAAGTTTCTCTTAACGTAGGAGGCAAAATATTCAAAATAAGTTTAAATTTATATTCAATTTAAATTAGATTCATGTAATTTTTACAAAAATCGGTGGACTCATTATATGGCAAACCCTTATAAGCAGGGCTCGAGACTTATAGCATTTGCTTGAAAATGCTTTTTTTTGCTATTTTTGATGATTTTAAAAAAACAAATGCTTGTTTCTTGTTTTTTATATTTTTGTACATTAAAATATTTTCTTTATGACGCAGCCTACCCAGGTTTTTTTTATCGGTTTTTGATAGATCTAATAAGGAAAATAATTCAATTGCCTTCCATGCTTGTAGGGTTTTGTCTTTGTTATCTTATCTGTATGATAGTCAACGCCGTTAACTTCTTTAGCTATGGTTGAAGTGTCATACTAGTGTGGTACTTAGTTGATTTCCATTGTATAATGGATTTCTCGGTAACCAATATTTTTAGACCGTTATGGCATACTGGGATATCTATACAAATCAAATTTTGATTTTAGTTCAGTACCTTGTTAATTCTTTAATTGTTAATTAAAATCACTATAAAAAAAAAAGGCTTCGATGCAAATTTTTAGATATTGTTTAATTTTAAAAAATTGGTGTATTATTCCAAAAGCTACATGATCTGCTAGTTCCTTATTAATATCCTGATTAAGATAAAGTATGTCGAATGAAAAAGGGATTATTAAAAAATATTATTTCTCATAAAAAAATTGTGTTGATCCATACACTTTTCAATAA